GTTTGAAAGTCGTATAATATTTTTTATGACGTGGACTTGTGAGTTAAAATCTTGTGAAGATGAATTTAATATAATTTTTATGATAATTTATTTCTCTTCTATTACGCAGAATTACCAAGTATCTTGAGAACATCACATGATTACGTGGTCAACATGTTTTATTATACTTAAAAAGTAATATATAAATTTATTTTGTAAACCTATTTTTTAAACTTATTTTCTAAATCCCATGAGAACATCACATGATTACGTAGTCAATATGTTTTATTATACTTAAAAAGTAATATATAAATTTATTTTGTAAACCTATTTTTTAAGCTTATTTTTTAAATCCCATGATACGAGATAGAGAAAAAATTGATTTAGATATTCAAATACAATACAACATCATTACATTTGAAAAGTAAATCTAATTTTTTTGCCTAAGTAACATTCCCTTATTATTTTTTCCGTATTATTCATATTTTTTTAGGTCATGTAAGTACACATTTCTTGCTACATTTTTCCTATTGGGGCCATATAAGTATATCTTTTTCTATAAAGAAGAAAAAAAGAGTATATCTTTCTTGCTATTAGATGGGTATACTACGGCCTTAAAATTTTTGAAAGACCACATAATTATTCTCCATTATAAGAGTTGTATATAATTAGCAATGGTTGTTGGCTTTTAGGCTTAGTGGGCTTGATAATTATTGTGAATTAGTGAACTATTTGATGATGTAATATTTTTTACCTTTCTAATTACTCTCTTATCAATTGATTAAGAAAAAAAAGAAAAGAAAAAAAAGCTACTCACACTAGTAGGCTTTGTTCTACAAATGTGATTGCCTATATGTTAACCCACTAAATTAATCATAAGAAAATTAAGTAAAATGAATATCAATAATCACATAATCATATTTGTCGACCATGTGGTTAATTATTAATATTTGATCCACACAATTTTCTTTGCGTGAATGAGCTCCTGAGTAAGCACTACATCATACCAAATAAACCTCACAGTGTGAAGAGAAACCAAAAATATCATTCCAGCCCATCAATTTGTCTTATCATAAAAATATTAAGTAAAAACAAAAATGTAATGTCATGTGATGGAAGAGTTTACGGTGGGAGACTAGTGCGTTTTAAGAAAATAATGTTGATGTAGAAAAATAAAATATATTATATATAAAAGAAAAATAATAATTTCTTAATTTGATAAATTACATTAATAGTCCTTATATTTTATTTGTTATGTTATTTTGGTTATTGTAATTTCAATTAATTCAATTTTAACTCTTAATTTTAAATTTGAATAATTCTACATATACTAACAATCTTACTAAAAATCTTAATAAAAATACAAAAGGCTAAATGTGACTGCTTATTAAAAATGTAATGATATTTAAACATCTAATGATATTTGGACATGCATGTTTTTAGTAAAATTGTTAGTAAGAATTTAATGTAGCATTGCTCTTTAAATTTTATGTCAATTTAATCCAATTGAAATTGTTTATTAGGGCTTTTGAAAACAAATGATTACTAAATTAATTAAGGTTAACTCATTTTGAATTGAATAAATTTATAATTTTTCCAATAAAAGTACAACACATGCTACTTATGTGCGTATTTTTCATAAAAAAAAAATACTAACAATTATAATTAATCGGACTAAATTGAGACAAAATCAAAAATTCATATTCAAAATCTAATGAATTGAAATTACAAAAATCAAATAACATAAGGACAAAAATATAAAACCTATTAGTGTAATTTGTCCATAACAATTTATGGATTGAAAATTAATCCACATTTGAAAAATAAAATAAAGAGAAAATTAGTGATAAATCCAATCTAAGAAGTGTATAAGACATTAGATCCAGTAGATATTTTTTATTGGTGAGAGATCCACACTTTATAAAATAGTTTGGTGAGAAGTTCTAGAGAGCATTTTCTTTTCAATTTTATCATTTGACTTTTTTTATCTGTTCAACTTTTCATTGGCTATCTGTTCAAATTTATATATATATCTATTCAAAAAAAATTCTATCTGTCAAAATTATTTTCTATTTGTTCAAATTTTTTGTACCAATAGCTTTGGACCAAGCAACACACATACAGTCCTAGATAGATACACATCAATATAGAAATATATATGTAGAGAGAGATGTGAAGTGAAGATGTGTGTTTCAAGATTTAGAAAGATGTGTGTTTCAGCAGTGATTTCAGGTTCGTTGATTTTGGCAGCAAGTCAGGTGTTGAATTCAATCTCCTCCAACCAATGGGTCATACTCCAATACTGCCACTGAAACCACTGCCATGCCACCATATGACGTAGATTTGTCGAGAGAGAGGAAGAAGAACACTAATCCTCTAAATTTGCCACCGATCTGCCAAATTTGTCATCGATCTTCCTCTTTTTCTCTTTTTCTCTCTCTCTGTTAAGTCATCTGACTTCTCTACCAAATCTAGGATGAAGTGGAGAAGGCAATGCCACAACCCAAACCCGCCCTTATAGGTTTGGCGTCGTAACTAGCCAGTAATCTGTGATTATCAAACGCCTTCCTATACCAATCAAAGGATCAGGGCTAGCGAAAGCTAATATAGCAAAAAAGAAAACGTCCAACGAGCTGTGAAAACGTATATGAGACAAAATTCATTGCTATATATATACACATATACATACATATCTGTACATCAAAATATAACAAGTTTGCCAAAATACAACCAAGAGAGGGAGTACATTCCCATCATCAACACATGTAAACACATACTCAAGAAGACGGGTATTACAGTCTCTCCCTTTTAGGACGTTTGGTCCTCTTAACTCAATTACCTTCTTCCATGAAGAATGTAGGATCTAATGGGAAAAGCTCGGGGTACTTCTCTTGCATATCTTCTTCTCTTTCCCAAGTTGCATAGCGTCCATTGTGGTTTTGCCAATCCACTTTAACCAATAGAACTTCCTTATTTCTCACTTTCTTAATACAGCGGTTAACAATCCGGATGGGTCGTTCATGATTTGTATAGTCATCATTGACAAGCACCTGGGTAGGTTCAATGACATGCAGAGGATCCTAAAGGTATTCTCATAACATAGAACATGAAAAACATTATGCATGTGCTCCATATCAGGAGGTAGGGCTACCCGGTACGCCACTGGATTAAGTTTCTCAATGATCTCATAAGGTCTGATGTACCGAGGTGCTAATTTACCCTTGGTTCCAAAACGGGTCTGTTCTTTCATTGAAGTGACTTTGATAAAAACATGGTTGCCCATTTCATATTCTTTCTTCCATCTGTGCACATCCACGTAGCTTTTCTGTCAACTTTGCGCTATTTTCAACCGTTGTTGGATCAACTTCACTTTCTTAGTGGTTTCTTGTACAATTTCAAGTCCTAATAATGGTCTATCTCCAACCTCAGCCCAACAAATCGGTGACCAACATTTCTTGCCATATAGAGCCTCGTATGGTGCCATGCCAATGCTTGAATGAAAGCTGTTATTGTAAGCAAATTCAACTAAAGGCAAATGTATCTCCTAATTTCTGTGGAAGTCCAGTGCACACATGTGTAACATATCTTCAAGCGTCTATATTGTCCTTTCTGATTGGCCATCTGTCTGCAGATGGTACGCACTGCTCAGTCTTAATTTGGTCCCCAACGCTTTTTGTAGACTTTGCCAAAATCGCGAAGTGAATTTCGAATCCCTATCAAAAACAATTAACACAAGCACTCCATGCAGTTTTACAATCCTATAGCTCATTTGGACTTGTGTGTGCGGTATAACTCGTGCTCTGATAGCACTCTGTCATGACCCAAACCTGCCCCTATAGGTTTAGCGTCGTAACTGGCTAGTAATCCGTGATTACCAAGGCCTTCTTGTACCAATCAAATGATCGGGGCTAGCGGAAGCTAATATAGCAAAAAAGAAAACGTCCAACGAGCTGTGAAAACGTATATGAGACAAAATGCATTACTATATATATATATATACACATACATATCTGTATATCAAGATACAAAAAGTTTGCCAAAATACATCCAAAAGAGGGAGTACATTCCCATCATCAACACATGTAAGCACATACTCAAGGTAAATAACAATTAATTACGAAGGCGGGTGTTACAGGTAGTGTGGAAGACAGTGGTAACAACGAGGGAGTTGGAGAAGATCGCGAGAGAGGGAAAGAGAACGGTAAAGAGAGAGACCAATGGTTTGTTTGAGTTTGTTTAAGAAACACATTATATACAGGGGTGTTTTGATAATTTTGTAAAAGCAGATATAATATTTTAGCGCCTATAGATCAGGGTGTTTTGATGATTTTCTAAGAACTTGTCCTTATAAACATGAGGGTAAATTACAAATATACCCCCTTGAGATTTGATTAAAATACGAATCACTCTTGTAGTTTTGAAAATTACATTCTACCCCTTGAAATTTCTAATTTCATAACAAATTACCCATTTTATTAATCAATTATGAAATCAATTGACAGTTTTTAATGATATTAGAAATATGCTTCAATTAATAATTTAGGTAATTTTATTATTGTATTAGAGAGCAATTTTATTTTCTTTAGTTCATTCACTACAGGAAATATCAGTTTTAACGATTTTCGTTTCTAAATTTCCACCAACAGACCATTGTTTTTTGCTTGGTCATAAAGTTGTAATCATGTTTCAATTTTCTAATACCATAAGCCAAAATCAGTATTGACACGTGGTGTAATCAAGTCATTTTGTCAGGTCATTATAGTTGAAAATATTATGCATCATCCCAACTTGAACCTGGTTAAAAGTTTTTCACTACAGGAAATATCAGTTTTAACGACGTTTATTTAGCGACGTTTTATTAAACGCCACCATTTATAATATTTAATGGCGTTTCTTAAACGTCACTTTTTTTTTTTTAAATTAAAACGACAACGTTTCAATAACAGAAGACGCTTGAAAGCGCCTTCAAATGTCTCTCTCTCTCTCAATCTTAAATGGGCTAGCTGGTGAATACTGAGGGAAATCAAATATATAATACATTTTGTGGCCCTAATCTCTTACTCACCCACTCAGTCTGTCGTTCGCGCTCTCTCTCTCTCTCTCTGTAAACCTCTCAACAGATGGATTCATCTTTCGCTGATTCATCTCAAAATGATACAATCTCGGTGATTCATCTTGGCGATTTCGATTTTGATTTCAAAATTTATGTTTCGGTGATTCTTTCTCTCAATTTCGAAGCCTATTTTGAATCTGAGAACAATTATTAAAGCCTTTGTAAACCCTTATTCTGAATCCTCACACCTTCAAATCTCGTCTCTCTCTTAACCCTCTCTAAAACCTTACCATTCTCACAGATTCATCTTTGAGATTCAGAGCGGTTTCGATTTCGAAGCCCCACCGCCACCACCGTCTGCACCGTCCTCACAGCACTGCCAGCCTTGCCTGCGAGAGAGAAAACCTTCGTGCGACACCATCTCGGAGGCTTTCCTTTGCTCATCTCATCTCTCCGGTGACAAGATCTCGCCAAAATCGGCCTCTCCACAGCGGCGTTCTAAGGCTTCTTCCGGCAACAGGACTCCATTCATTGTCTCTCCCAAGGCCGTCTATGATTCGTAGAATTCGCAGACTTGTCTCGATCCTGATGCAAGCAGAGTTAGTTCCTTCTCCTTCTTTTCTGTATTCGTTTTAAAAATGTTGCATTGTGTGATATTTCGATACATGTATCATATACATACATGCATGTATAGTTAAATTACCAAAGCGCAAAGAACTGTGTATGAGTTTGGAGCAAAATTGAAACGACAATTTGATCTAAAACTGTTGATGAAATTGGAACTGATTTGACTGTGTTGTCACTAGTTATAGATCCAGGATACTATTTCTCTCTTGGAACGAACTACATTCTCTTTTACGTTTTGTTACTAAACTTTTTTAGTGAATGGAACAGGATATTCTTACAGAATGTTCTGGGAATTATACTTGGGGGTGGAGCTGGGACTCGCCTTTACCCTCTTACAAAGAAGAGAGCAAAACTAGTTCCTTTAGGAGCAAATTATCGCCTGATTGACATTCCGGTCAGGAATTGCCTGAACAGAAACATATCAAAGATCTATGTTCTTACACAATTCAATTCTGCATCTCTAAATCATCACCTTTCATGGGCATACACAAGTAACATGGGTGGCTACAAGAATGAAGGTTTTGTTGAAGTTCTTGCTGCTCAGCAAAGCCCAAAGAACCCCAATTGGTTCCAGGTAGTATAAAATCTGAACTCTAAACTAGGAAAAGAGTAATCTGCCCCAGATTTCTAATGTACCTCATTATAAGTTGTGGTTTGATGCAAATAGCTGCTATTAGTGCATCACTTACAAACCAATTTTGTTTTGCTTAATGCCTCATTTTCCCTTCACTTCAGCGTTTGCTAGACACCCTGTATTGATTTGTATTTTTATTGGTTAGTAGGGTACAGCTGATGCTGTGAGACAGTATTTGTGGCTATTTGAGGAACACAATGTTCTAGAATTCTTGATTCTTACTGGGGACCAGAATTTCGGCTCTAGTATCCCTAATTTATTGTTGGATTGCTGCCAGGGCACATATGATGAATTCCATTTGAGATGTTGACAGGATTCATCAAAGGTGGGTTCTATCATGTTGATATGTACATATACTTCTATGTGGCTTAATTGTGTATGTACATTTACACTATTGTCATTTTAGGCTATATATGACCAATCCACCTTTTTGCAAGTCCAAAACAATAAATTAAATAGCCACCTTTGTCCCTTCTTTGAATCTGTTATTATTATTTTTAAATATTGATATGGTCTATTAAATTTTTTTTGCAGCTGCAACTGATAGATTACAACCCGGATGTTCTTGATGAGTCCGTTCTATGGACCGAGAGCAGGGATTTGGGTGATGGTCACAGAACAATAAGGATGGTTAATAACATTTGCCTCAATGTCAATGCTTTTAATGGTGATAAAAATCACGGCGGTGTTCACGATGGCACTACTATTGTTCTTTGGGAGAGGAAGAAAGGCGACAATCAGCGTTGGAAGATCGTTCCCTACTGTAAGTTATTGAACACTATTAAAGGTGTGAAATTTGTGGCAAAGTTTCCATGTCCTCTTCACTCTTCTCTTGTACATTTGTATGAGCATCTCCATCAAACTAATAAATTTTTAATCAATGTTTTTTTTTTTAAAAAAAACACTACTCTTCTATTTTAGCTGGCTATCTTTCTTAAATACACTCTTCAACAAACTCTATTTTCTTTTTAATCTAAAATAATTTTTTATAAACTCAACACAACATCTTTAAAATAGAAAAGTAATATTTCTTTCATGTTTGGTTAGCCAAACCACTAGCTACATTTTTAATCCTCTTAGAACAATAACTAAGATAGCTAGTTTCAGGCATGTTACATGGACTTTTTAGAATAAATCAAATAAACAATGGTGTGAGATATGTACTTAACACTATATATATATATATATATATCTATAAATCAAATTCCTCTTTAACACTATATTATATATGATACCATTTCATCTCACTTAATAGTTTAAAAATATAAAAATATAACCCTTATTTTGCCAAGTTGGCGAATACCAAACATCCATATCCGAGTCTATGTAACATATGTTCGAGGAGATGGTCTAACTCAAGTTCTTGTTTGAGCAAGTTGAACCTCTTTTGTCATGCATAGAGTGTCTCGGCTGCTAAGGGTGCCTTTCTTTTTGTCTTTTGCTTTGATGATCTGTTGTGGATGTTGTTTGCAGGATATTATGGAGTTCCCAGGTCTAGAAATGTTGTTTTGTGCTGCTTCTACATAATACTATGGAAGAGATTGCTGCGCATTCTCTTTGTGAGTAGTCTGTGTTTGTTTGCTAGTTTGTGTGAAAATCTGTGGTCGGTCAAGATTTCCGCTACTCTGCTATTGCACCTACTTGTTTACTGATTGTTATATGATCTCTTGGCTTTATCAATAGCCAAGAAAATAAAAAAAGAGAGTAGAAAACATATGTTATTTAATCTGACGCAGCGAGAACTTTGATGTGTACTACATATTTTCGGACATATATATTTATATGTTATCTACTTGTCTATCTATCTATCTATCTATCTATCTTCATATATAAGATAAATATTAGTTAATGCATCAAAAGTATTGGTAAGCATGTGAAGGCATAATGTGATGTTTTAATAGCCATTTGTGTTTTATGACAATTGTTACTGATAAAAATATCACTGATCTTTGCTCAATAATTCTTTCACCAACTTGCCAAGACATTTAGGCATACAAACTTAGTATAATGGTGAGACCATCCAAAAATAATATTTTCACAGGTTCCTTCTCACCTCTTTTGTTTTAAGACCAAATTTGTCAATGCATTTCATACTGGTTATCATCGGATGAGATCAGTAGCACACCATCTATTCTTGCTGTTGCTTATATATCATTCTCATCTTCTCTCTCCCTCTCCGCTGTCTAAACCCTGATTATCACAGATTCAGTTGCTTATCAATGGAATCCTCAGAAATCGAAGTTCTCTCTCGAAATCGAAGTGATTCATCAGAGCGATTTCGAAGTTCATCTCAGCGATTCAGATCTTGAAATCGAAGTTCATATCTCGAAATTTTAAAATTCTGAGTTCATATCACTTCGATTTCGATTTAGATCGTGATTCAGATCTCAGCGATTCAGATCGGTCTCAGTGATTCATATCTCGAAATCGAAATCGAAGTTCGATTCAGATCGTGATTCAGATATCAGCGATTCACATCGGTCTCAGTGATTCATATCTTGAAATCGAAATCGAAGGTCATCTCAGCGATTCAGATCGGTGATTCAGAAGGTATTTGTGCATGTGCCTTCAGAAATTGCCGCTCATGATGTTCAGAAATTGCTGTTCTGTTGTTTGATTCTCCTCTTGAGTTCCGTTCTGTTCCTCACTGTCACCGCGAGATCGCCGATCTTCAAGGTATGTTTCGTTTCTCTACTTTCTTTTTGATCTATACAAATTGCATATATATATATATGTGTGTGTGTGTGTATATATATGTATGTATATGTTTGTGTTTATGAAGTTTAATTTGATTGTTGATTGTTTGTTATTTGAGCTTCAAATCTGTGATTCTGTCTGTTTAGTTACTGAAAAACAGTTTGCTGGAATAAATTACTGTGTAGATTTTGGGTTCTAATCTAAGGCTGTTTTACTTTTTAAGGCATTCAATTATGACAATGAAGGCTGCCAAGGGTAAGGGGGCACCAATCAGGGTCCCAAAGGAGGCGTTGAAGCCAGTTGATGACGGGTTTGCTAAGTTTGTGTAACATTTTGGTGGTTGTAGTTGCATCTTTGTGGGTTTTTTTTTGTTTGTTTTGTTTTTGGTGTTTACATTAATGTGAATGACTCTGTTTAATGTTATGATATTGACCATAAGTTTCAAGGTCGAGTCAAATGAGTTCTATATGCACCTTAAAATAAAAGGTGTGTAAATAGAGGCACCCGTATTTGTAATTTACCTTTTAAAATATATATGTGTTAACATAGAAAAGCGGAGTGACTTAGAAATCAGATTATAAATTTTAAAATTAAAACCGTGGTTAGCGTATAGAGTGGTGCGAATTGATATGGATCAACGCGATTTTAATAGACTGAGCGGTATTTTACATGGTCCTAATTCTATCAAACAATTTTGAGTCACGTGCCACGCACGTGTAAAACCCCATCCATCCCTCTCGTCCAAAAAAGCTTCTTATCCAATTTTTGGGGCTGCAAAAAATAAACTTTGTCAGCCTCTGACCAGTAAGCAAGTGAAACTCTACTATCCTTGCATTACCCACTTCAAATTAATCAAACTAAAAGCAAGTCAAGAGCAGCTTCTTAGAGTCAGACATGGCAGTTTCATCACTCTCAATGACCTTGGCCCCATCATCATCATCCTCCTCCAATAGGGTCAGCCTAATTGCTCTATATGTGAATTTCATTCAATATAAATATATGTATGTGAATTTGATATATAATTATATACAATGTTTCACAATTTTCAGTTCAATGTGCCCCATTCATACAGTTGAACTAGGGTTACTGCAATTTTTCCACAAAACATTATCACATGTTCAGGAGACACAACTTATGATGAAGACAGTAAGATTACCACTCTTTATCTCTTCACTTTTTCTTCTCCCTACAAATCCCTTCACATATCCAATATCCAAACATAGCTCAAGTATTTTACTTCTTGTTTTGTATGAGTGACATGGGATTTGCTTATATGTCTTTGATGTAATAATGATTTCTTGAAGAATTTACTTCATAACAAATTCTTCTGGTCTTGTGAATTCTGAAATTAGGGCTGTAAATTTGATGCAAAATTGCTGGTTATGCCAAAGGTGGAATGTATAAACTAACTTCTTGTGAGATATGATTGTTTTGATTCTTGTTTTGGATTATATAATGGTAAATTTCAGGAAATTCTAAGAGAAGGGCAATACTGTTGGGAGTAGGAGCATTAGCTTTGAGTTCATGCCCTGCAAGTTCACTCATTGCTGAAGGTGTAATGGTTTTTTAATTTTTTTCCTTTTGTTTTTTTGTTGTCAATTTGTAGGATAATACAAATAGGACATTCATTCAACTACGAAAAAAAAAAAAAAAGTCCAACACATTGTCATATGCACATAACAAAGCCAACAACACAGGAAAGACAATTGGAGAGTCGAATGCTTGACCCCCCTAGCCTTGTTGAGAGAGAGAGAGAGAGTGCTTTATTCTCCCTTCAAATCATAAACTACCCATCCAATTAGTTTGAATTGAGATGGAGGTGTTTGTGTTAATGCATTTCTCCAAGCTCTTATGATTACATTATTTTCATGAAGAATGGCATTTCGCTTATGTTATCTTACAATCCTATGCATAATTTTTGTTTTTTAGAAATACTACATTAATGTGTGCTAATTGGGCCTTTTTTTTTTCTTTTTTTTTCTGCATAGAAATACCACAAAACTATGAAGCTTTTGTCAACAAATCAGATGGCTATTCATACTATTACCCCTCAGATTGGAGGGTAAGTTACATGTTTACTAGTCAAAGAGAAGCCAAAATTTAGGCTGTGACAACTCTTTGGTACACTAAAAAGAATTTATGAAGTCTGTTGTTTAGGAATTTAATTTCTTCTGTCTATTGCTCTCGTACACGCACTTGAGTTACCTTTGATATGAGTCAGGAACGCACATCACACTGTATATGTTGACACTAGAAAGTTTAGCAATGAGTGACTATATCACTAAGGTGAAACAGTTGCTGGAAGAAGCTACTGCTTCTGCTTGATGTTGTGAAACTTCTTCTGTGTTTCTTCATGGTAACTTCGCGTTGGAAAAAAATTATGAAAGATAATTATGACCAACATTGGTAACTTCACATCATGGTATTGATTCTTGAATCTGGAGCTCCTTTGTTTACTTTTTTTCCTTGAATAATGAGTTGTCCCTCATACCTGTACTGTGGTGGAGGTTGCTTCAAGCTGCAACGTTGTTCGCTTTTTTTCAAATACAGGTATTCTACTATCTTGGCTCTGTTAAAGTCAAGTTTGTTCAT